GCTGTTTGCCACTTGTGTGATGTGGGGCATGTCAACTCACCTCTCTGGGCCTTTTTTTCTTCATTTGTAAAATCAAGGGATTTTACCAAATGACCCCTGAGGTCTCCGCCTGCTCTAACACTACGTTCCTATGAATATATTTTTATGTCCTCTGGACCTACCGAAGAAGAGCCTGACTTAGATGAGCACAGAGTCAGTATTTGAAATTCTTTGAGAAATTGAATGATTTCACATGTCTGCTCCCTTTTCTCCAGTCTCACAGGCACTCCCCTCATTTCTGCCCTCACCATCCCACTTAGACTCTTGCAATGGCCTCCTAATCAGTTTCTTTATTTCCACACTCTCCCCTTTCCAATCCATCCTTCATCCAATTGCCATATTAATATTCCTATGATTCAAATTTTACCAGGCCACTCCACTGCTCAGAAGTTTCAGTGCCTCTCTGTTGCCCCAAGAATTATACATGGCTTCTTTAGCCTGGCATTTAAGTGCTCCACATTTGGAGTTTACTTACCTTTTCAGATTTAGTTCATATTATTTCCCTTTGTGCACTCTACATTCTAGTCGTAGTGACCTAACAGCTGTTCTTTGAACTTGATAGCTCATCCTTCAGCCTCTGACCTTTGCAAAGGCCATGCCTACTTTTATGTGCCCCTAGCATTCACCTTGTAGTGTTGCTGGCTTCTTTAAGGAATCAGCTTAGGTACTACTTCCTACTTGAAGTGTTTCTTGTTCTCTCTTCAGGGTATCTTGTGTTTTTCTATCTGTGCCTCTGTCTCCAGTGCTTGGCACAATGCCTTTGTAGGCAGTGAATTAATGCTTGTTGAATTAAATTGAATTGAAGTATGGGCTATTAGCATCAACAGTTCAGATTTTTTAAAACATAGATTAGAATGTAGGACAGAAGACAGTCTTCGAAATAATAGCCTTCTTACCCATGTTTCTTTAAAGTAGTGTAGTTCGGCTTGGCTGTTGAGTCAGTTTAGAGACCTGGAGGTACATTATGTGCTTCACTGACATTTACTTAAAAAACCCACGGTCAGCCTCAAACCAAAATGAATTAATTATTGGAAGGGAAATTTGGAGAGTTATGATGATGATGAGTAAGTAACATTTATATAGTGCCTTACAGTTTACAGGATTTTCTTGAAAATAACCTTGTAATTTATATTATACAGGTATTATTATCCTCATTTTCAAGATGAGGAAAAACCAAGTAACTTCCCTAGGGTTAGTTAACTAGTTAATAAGTGGAAAATCCAGGACTTGAGACTTAAATTCAATACTCTGACTACAAGTCCAGTTCTCTTTGCATTTACCTTTTTAAAATTACATAGGACTGACCGACATCTTTTCTCTCTCGCTTGTTTTGCTTCTGCCCTTCCTTTCCTGTATCCTTTCCTTTATTGCTTATCTTTACATTTCCCTCCCTGCTTTTTAATACAATTGATTTATCTGTACAAGTACTTTCAGAAGGGCCATAGTGAGATTCCATAATGTATATTTCATAGTATATCAGCTTTTTAAGGTTATAGAAATCTTTCCCCAAATTGACACCTATTTACAATATATTATGGGTATATGTCCCCATACCAAGCTCTTAATAGATGAGAATGTCTTGCTGATAAAGCAGCTTTGGGATAAGGTGATTTCAGGTCAAAACCTGAACTTTTATGTAGAAAAATTCAGGTTGACCTGAACACTAGGTCAGTTTATAATCTGTGATATGCAGTGCTATGCTTACTTTGGGGAAAAGGAAGAATCTGACTTTTAAATTAGGGAAGGAGCAGGGAGGCCTGAAGATGGGTTGGGCAGCATTAAGGCAGTACCACAATTTCTACAGTTTGTCTGAAAAAGATCTGGAGGTTTTAGTGGATTGCAAGTTCAGTATGAGGCATTGTGGATATTATAGCTACCAAAGCTAATGCAGTCTTAATCTGAATTAAGAGTGGAATAGTGTCCAGAATAAGGTGATGGTAATCCTACTATGCTTGAGCCGTATGCAACCAGTTACTTAATTAACAGGCATTTTTATTTTTATTTTTCTATTTTATTTTTTTTTGACAGACACCTTAAAATGGTACACATCTTTATTCTGATATGGCTTTTGGTTCTAGAACACTCTTTATTGGAAATAAAGCAGTGTATTTTAGTTCACAATAAATCATTAAATAATTAACTTGGTGGGTGTGATGCTGACAATTACGTGGCCTGAATCTGGGAATAAGTCTTATTTCAAAAATTCAGGGGTAGTGGAGAGTGGACATGCAGCAGAAAGTTTTCAAAGGAGAAAACAATGACTGTGCTACTCAATGAGGCATCAGATGCTTTTGGGTCCAACACTACTGGCTGGAAGAAGTGCCAGTCCTGGTAAACTGCGCCAGTGATCTTCGTGACAGTACAAAAGATCCTGTTATTTTTTTTCATACTGAATGTAGGTAGATCAGAATATTGCCCCAAATTGATTTTTACAAATCAACCTGGGGAACTTTTGATGTGTCCTCTATCCATTCAGTTCTCAGTATAAGCTCTAAAGTGACTGTTGTGTCAAGGAACCTTTCATGTGCTCCCAGTTGTTATACAATGCATACAGGCTAGTAAGGGTTAGTCCTGTCAGACCACCTCTTGCTACTCCACGAAGACCACCTGTACATTTATATATCATTCCTGTCACGGTTCCAGATGCTACTGTATTGATGTCATCTTCTGCACCTCGTGTTTTTTCGATGACAACACCAAATGTGCTATAGAGCAGAGCCAGAGAGCCCAGAGTGTTAGCCCATAGTGTCCCTTGCCCGGTTACCATATTTAAAATCTGTACATTTCTTGCCTTGGACCAGGCCATCTTTTGTGTTTCTTTTAGTCCCAGCCTCAAACCATTCACTGCTCCAAATGTAGTTCCTGTTATACAGCATCCTCCAATGGTAAAAAATGCCAATTCAAACTGGTCCCGTGTTTCATTGGCTCCAGTGGGTAAAATAAACTCATCTGTGTCCTGTATAAGATATCTGGGATCCACATTTAAATACGGAGACAGAGGACTCATACCAGTAAGGGGAACTCGGGACAGATCGGCGTTGGAGTAGCTCATCCCGGAGCCACTCCCGGCGAAAAACCCTGCCAGGCCTCCCGAGGTCCCGTTGCTGTTGCCTCCGCTGCCCTCCATGGCTCCGCTCCTTCCTTTCCGTCCACCGCCCGAGGTCTCCGCTTCAGGCCGGGGCCCCCCCGGCGGCCGTTAGTCCGCGACACCGCAGGGACCCTGACCGCGATGCTCTCAGCCCTCCCCGGCCGCCACCTCCACCTCCTTCGCGCGGTGACCTTCCGGGCTTAACAGGCATTTTAAAAAAATTGCTCACACTCTGATTGGACCATAGGATTGTAGATTTGAAGCTAAAGGAGAAATTAAAGGCCTTTGGTGTAACATGATTTAATGCACAGAAAAGCAGAACTCCAGAAAGAGCAAGTGACCAGGGTCACACAGCTCATAAACTGACGTTTGAACCCAGGTCTTTTGACCACAAATACAGTACTTTGGAGTATTGTATTGAGCTTCAGTCACGGCCGTGAGAAGATAGAGTATTCAGAAGATGGAAAATAGAATGATTAGGTGTGCTGAGACCGTGTTATAGGAGTATGAGCTGAGTAAACTGAGGAGTGGTTAACTGGGGGAAAAATGTAGGGACTTGATAGCCATCTTCAAATATTTGGAGGCCGTAGAGATCTTAATTAGGAGCAGTGGGTAGAAATAGAAGAGAGGAAGATTTAAACTTGATGTAAGGAAAAGCTTCCTCAACAGGTATAGCTGATAACAAAAGCATAGTGGTCTGCTTCAGGAAGTATTCTGTTACCCCTCACTGGAGATCTATCTTTATGTAAAGGTTGGGTGACCACTTGTTGGGAGTGTTTAGACGGGATTTATTTAAAGGCACAGGAGGCAGCTAGGTTGCTCAGTGCAAAGAGTGCCAGGCCTGGAGTCAGGAAGACCTGAGTTCAAATCCAGCCTCAGACACGTACTAGCTGTGTGACCTTGGACAAGTCATCTAACCTCTGTTCTGCTGGAGAAGGAAATGGCAAACCACTCCAGTATCTTTGCCAAGAAAACCCCAAATGGGGCCATGAAAAGTCAGACGTGACTGAACAGCAAAAAAATTTTAAAGGAACAGGTTAATTAGAAAGCTTCTGTGGTTCTTTTCAACTCTGAAATTCCCTTTAATTGGAAATGAGCTCTGAATAAATGTAAGTTGTAATTTATTGAAATATCTCACAAAGCTCTTTGATAGACTATAATTTAGTTCATTTCATATTGATTAAGTGACTGCTGGATTAGGCACTCTGGTATGTTTTGGCAATTCCAAGGTAAAAATGAGACTCCCTACTCTTTAGAAGCTTGCATTCTGTTGTGGAGAGAGGTTTCAGAGGGACACGGAGTTGAGTAAATACAAGATAATTTGAGGAGTCAGAGAACAGTAGCACCAGGGTATCAGAAAAGACTTCACGTATAAATCGCCCTTTAATCTGAGCATTGAAGGAAACTGGAGATTTAAGGAAACAGAGATGTGAGGGGGGAGCTGATAGCTGATGCGAAGGCATGAAAAGGGAAGATGGCCTGCTGAGTTCATGGAACAGATGTTAAGGATAATTCTCCTGCCATGTGGATTTTTTTTAAGGGAAGTAATATGATGTAGCTGGAAGTATCGGTGGGAGCCCAGTGTTGGAGGACTGTTTTTTGTCCTAGAGAAATTGGGAGAGCCCCTGAAGAATTTTGAGCTGGAGAGTAATAAGGTCAGACCTGTGATGGAGAATAGGTTTAGGTGATGGGAGGGAGAGATGGAACAAAGGAAATTATGATCAGAGAGAATGATTTCAAGTTCAAGATCACAAAATTATCAGAGTTATGTTGATGGCAAGCTCTAGGTCATGACCACCCCGGGGGCAGCTAAGCTGGTGTTTTGCTGATATATACATCCTTTGTTCTTTCTTTTCTTTTCTTTAAACCGTAGGATTTGAAACAGCCAAGTCTTTTGCCCTCCATGGCGCCCAGGTCATCCTGGCCTGCAGGAACATGGCAAGAGCTAATGAAGCTGTGTCACGCATTTTACAAGAGTGGGTAAGAAAACGGTTTTTTTAAATGGAGGACACACACACACACACACACACACACACACACACACACACGATGCTGGTAAATAATTGAATTTGGGATATTTAGTTTTGAATGTCATAGTTTTCTTTACTGCAAAATTCGTCCTTACTTTGGATACATATTATGCATATATCAAAAGGAAACCATGTAAACTGAATTTGTTTCCTGTGCATTGCACATCTTTTTTTTTTTTCCCACCTCAATCAACATTTATTAGGTTCTTTCTCTATACATGGCATCATAGTAGGTGTCATGAATTCAAAGACATATATGCAGTAGTCCCAAACTTCAGGGGGTTTTCCTTCTATGTGGGAACAGGTTGTTTTATGATGTGCATACATAAGTGTAATTAAAGGCAGTTTGAGGAGGGAGAGGGTATGTTAGCTCATGGTAATCAGGAAAGGTTTCATTTGGAACTTTATATCTGAACAGAGCCTTAAAAAAAGTGAAGGATTCTGCAGACTTGAAGGAGACAGCATTATAGATATCAGAAACTGTTTTGTGAAGTCACATAGTTAGAAGACGTGCCGAGTTTGGGAAAACAAACCTAGCAGTCTTAGTTTGCTTGGAATGTAGAGTCCTGGGAGTAATGCAGAATAAAACTGGAAAGGTTAGTTGGAGGTAGACTGTGGAGGGCCTTGAATGCCAGGTTAGAAATTTTATATTTTATCCTGGCTGCAGTGGGGAAACCACTGAAGATTTTTGAGCAGGGGATGCGCTTAGCAGACTTGTACTTTTGAAAGATCATAGCATCATAGCATTTGAAGGGACTTTGGAGGCCATTCTGTCCTGGAATTTGAATCTCAACTATATAATCAATAGGTGGACACCTAGCCTTTGCTGGAATCCCTCCTGTCAGGAGCAGGCCGCTGTGTCCCATGGTAGCCTGCTCTATTTTTTGATGACTAATTTTTAGGAAGTCTTTCCTTATTTTTAAGGAAACCTAACTTCATATTTCTGCTTCATCTACTTATTGCAGCTAGTTCTGCTCTCTGGGATCAAGACAAAGAAGTCTCATCCTTTTTTTCCTAGAGAGCCTTCAAGTACTTGCAGACAGTGTGCATGTTCCTTCTCCCTTTCATGTGGTTTATGTAAAATGTTGATGCCAGTGATCTCTGCATTATGCAGTCAATGCTTATGTGGCATGGGCTCCTGGATCTTTACTGTTCTGGTTGCCTTCTTCTGCCTACCTTCTGGTTTGTCATTATCTTTCTGAAAATGTCACCCAGAAGAGAGCACAATAATTCAGATGTGGTTTGACCAGGGTGGTTAGTATAGACAGGTAGTTAGTACTCCTTAGTCTTAAATGTAGCCCTAAGGTTGTATTAGTTTTCAGATCTATTGTTGTGTCATAATGAGCTTACAGGCCATTAAAATCTGTGAATTTTTTATGTCCAGTTTCAGAATCGAGTACATGTTATAGCCTACTTGTAAAACTGACTTTATGAAACCAGCAGTAAGACTTTACATTTATCACTACATTATATTAATCTTTATTGGATTCAGTCCAGTGTTCTAGCCTGACAAGATCTCTTTGAATCTTGACTCCGTTATCTAAGGTGTTACCTATCCTGTCCAACTGTATTTCATTTGCAAAGCTGATGAGCGTACCACTCATGGCTTTATATACGTCATTGATTAAAATGATAAACAGCATAGGGCAAAGTATCAATCTCTGGGCTGCCTAAATGGAGACTTGCTACAAATTTGAACTGTGAATTGCCCTTGAGTATTTCCATTAACCATTTTTGAATTCACTTAATTATGCTTTCACTTAGCTCTTATTTCTCCATATTTTACACAAGAATAAGAAAGGGGAGGGAAAAGGATACATTAGGAAATGAAAGGGTGAGGAAAATTGGAGGAAATGATCTCACATTATTAGGATGTGTAAGTAGAAAACTATAGAAACAAGGAGGAGATATGGGGGAATGGATGATGGTTGAATCGTATTTTAATCTAAACTAGTCAAAGGAAGGCAAGAAGGCCTCTGAAGAAATGATTAACAATTAATCGGACACTAAATAAGTTAATCCTAAAGAATTGGTGGGTCAAAGAACAAATCATAGGAACAATCGATAATTTTCGTTAAAAATAATGACAATGAGTCAACATACCAAAATGTTTTGGGATATGGCCAAAGTAGTCCTTAGGGGGAAATTTATATGTCTGAACGTTTTCCTCAACAAAAAAGAGAACAGATGGATGAATTAGACATTGAACTAAAAATACTAGGAAGCCAACCAATTAAAAACCAAAATAGAAATCCTGAAAATCAAATAAGACATTAATAAAATTGAAAACAAAAACTGAGAGCTAACAGTAGATAAACCACTGGCTGTTTTGATTAAAGAAAGGAAAAACAAGTTTTCATTATCAAAAATGAAAAAAAGTGAATTGACAACAAATAAAGAAGTAAAGGAAATTATTAGAAGCTATTCTGCCAATTATATGCTAATAAAACTATGATTTAATTTAAATGGAAGAATATTTACAGAAATATATAATGTTCAGAAAATAGAACAAGAAACAGAGGACTTAACCTAATCTTAGAAAAAGAAATTGAACAAGCCACAAATGATCCCAAAGGAAAAAAAATAAACAACAAAACCAAATTTGAGATGACATATTTACCAGATGTAAACAGTGAATTTTATCAGGCCTTCAAAGGACAACAAATTTCAATATTGCACAAACTGTTTTAAAAAAATGGATAAGAAAGGGTCCTACCAAACTCCTTTTGTGATCCAGATCTGGTCTTGATACCTAAACCAAGCGTAGGCATGTTTTATTGTTGTTCAGTTCAGTTGTGTCTAATTTTTTGTGACCCCATGAATCTTCACTATTTCTCAAAGGCTGTCCAAGTTCTTGTTCCTTGTTTCCATGTCACTATCTATCCATTCTCATCCTCTGCCATCCCCTTTTCCTTTTGTCTTCAATCTTTCCTAATGTTAGGGTCTTTTCCAATGAGTCCTGTCTTCTCATTATGAGGCTGCAGTATTTAAGCTTCAGCTTCAATATTCGACCTTCCAATGAATAGTCTGAATTAGCTTCAAGTATTGACTGATTTGATCTCCTTGCTGTCCAAGGGACTCTCAAAAGTCTTCTCCAGCACTACAATTCAAAAGCGTCAATTCTGCAATGCTCAGCTTTCCTCATCGTCCAACTTTCATAGCCTACATTGCTATTAGAAAAACCATAGCTTTCACTATACATTCCTTAGTGGGCAAAGTGCTGTCTCCTTCTTAGTATGCGGTCCAAATTTGCCAAAGCTTTCCTTCCAAGGAGCAAATGTCTTTTAATTTCATGGCTGCAGTTACCATCTACAGTGAGCTTTGAGCCCAAGAATATGAAATCTGACCCTGCTTCCATTTCTTCTCCCTCTATTGCCAGGAAGTGATGGGACTATTTGCCAAGATCTTAGGGGTTTTTTTTTTTTTTGATGTTAAGCTTCAAGCCATCTTAATGGAGAAAGACAACTATAGACCAATATCCCTAATGAACATTGATTCAAAAAATTAAAATATTAGCAAGGTGACTATGTATAATTTACAGAGTTTTAATACTATGATCAGGATTGGATTTATATTATTAATGCAGGGTTGTTTAAGATTGGGAAAATTATCAATACAATGCACCTTATTGCTAAAAAACAAAAATTATTTGATTGTGTTAATAGATTCAGAAAAAGCTTTTGAAAAGATGTGATTCCCATTTCTCTTAAAAAAACATTAGAAAATATATGAATGGATGGATCTTTCCTTTGTGATAGGTAGTACCTAAAAACAAGAGCCAGCATTGTATGTAGTGGGGATAAAGAATAAGATTTTTTAAAATAAGATTAAGGGCAAAGCATGGATTTCCATTTGCAACATCACTGTTTAATACAGTCTTAGAAATGCTAGCTATAGCAATAAGACAAATAAAAGAAATTGACAGGCAAAACCCCCCCAAAGATATTGCTTTTTGCAGATGATATGATGGCTTATTTAGGGAACCCTACAAATCAACTAAAATTAAAATAATAACTACAGCAAAGTTCTTGGATATCAAATAAACCTACATAAATCATCATCATTTTTCTTTGTTACCAACAAAATTCAGCAGGAAAAACTAGAGAAAAAATTTCAATTTAAAATAACTACGAAGCATATAAAATATTAGGGGTCCTACCTGCTGAGACACAAGCACAATGATTATGTGCAACTACAAAATAGTTGGTGGTTGTCCTTCATTCTTGAAGAGGACCAAAATGATATTACTGTGTTGGAGTCAAGTTACAGTGTGTCTGACTGTATGAGACCAGTATGAGCTTGGAATGCTCTACCACATATTTGGGGTAGATTCTCTAAGTTCGCTTATCTCACGTTTCTTTTGAGCTACTACAATTCTGCTTTGCTCATGGAGCACAGTGCCTTCTCTGATGAGGGCATGCCATGCTGGGTGGTCCTGTGCCAGTGTCTCCTATATCACACAATCAATTCCAAAGTTTTTTTCCTTTTTGATGAGGCAGTCGAGGTTAAGTGACTTGCCCAGGGTCACACAGCTAGTAAATGTCAAGTGTCTGAGGCTGGATTTGAACTTGGGTCCTCCTGACTCCAGGGCCAGTGCTCTATCCACTGTGCCACCTAGCTGCCCCTAATTCCAAAGTTCTTAAAAGAGACCTTGAGAGCGTCCTTGTATCACCTCTTTTAATTACTCACCACGTGAGCACTTGCCATGTGTGAGTTCTCCATAAAATAACCTTTTTGGCAAGCATATGTTTGTCATTTGAACAATGTGGCTAGCCCAGCTAGCCCATTGGAGTTGTACTCTCTGCAGTAAAGTTTTAATGCTTGGCAGTTTAATTCAAGAAAGGACCTCGGTGTCTGGTGTCTTATCCTGACCTTCAGAATCTTCCCAAGAGAATTCAGATGGAAGCGATTCAGTTTTCTGACATGGCACTGATATACTGTCCAAGTTTC